AGCCGCAGCAAAATGGTCTACAATACTTACACTAGGGACAGACTTGTCTAGCCGCAGCAAAATGGTCTACAATATTCACACTAGGGACAGACTTGTCTAGCCGCAGCAAAATGGTCTACAATATTCACACTAGGGACAGACTTGTCTAGCCGCAGCAAAATGGTCTACAATATTCACACTAGGGACAGACTTGTCTAGCCGCAGCAAAATGGTCTACAATACTCACACCAGGGACAGACTTGTCTAGCCCCAGCAAAATGGTCTACATTACTCACACTAGGGACAGACTTGTCTAGCCGCAGCAAAATGGTCTACAATACTCACACTAGGGACAGACTTGTCTAGCCCAAGCAAAATGGTCTACAATACTCACACCAGGGACAGACTTGTCTAGCCGCAGCAAAATGGTCTACAATACTCACACTAGGGACAGACTTGTCCGCAGCAAAATGGTCTACAATACTCACACAGGGACAGACTTGTCTAGCCCCAGCAAAAAGGTCTACAATATTCACACTAGGGACAGACTTGTTTAGCCGCAGCAAAATTGTCTACAATACTCACACTAGGGACAGACTTGTCTAGCCCCAGCAAAATGGTCTACAATATTCACACTAGGGACAGACTTGTCTAGCCGCAGCAAAATAGTCTTCAATACTCACACTAGGGACAGACTTGTCTAGCCCCAGCAAAATGGTTTACAGTACTCACACTAGGGACAGACTTGTTTAGCTGCAGCAAAATGGTTTACAATATTCACAATAGGGACAGACTTGTCTAGCCGCAGCAAAATGGTCTACAATATTCACACTAGGGACAGACTTGTCTAGCCGCAGCAAAATGGTCTACAATACTCACACAGGGACAGACTTGTCTAGCCCCAGCAAAAAGGTCTACAATATTCACACTAGGGACAGACTTGTTTAGCCGCAGCAAAATTGTCTACAATACTCACACTAGGGACAGACTTGTCTAGCCCCAGCAAAATGGTCTACAATATTCACACTAGGGACAGACTTGTCTAGCCGCAGCAAAATAGTCTTCAATACTCACACTAGGGACAGACTTGTCTAGCCCCAGCAAAATGGTTTACAGTACTCACACTAGGGACAGACTTGTTTAGCTGCAGCAAAATGGTTTACAATATTCACAATAGGGACAGACTTGTCTAGCCGCAGCAAAATGGTCTACAATATTCACACTAGGGACAGACTTGTCTAGCCGCAGCAAAATGGTCTACAATACTAACACTAGTGACAGACTTGTTTAGCTGCAGCAAAATGGTCTACAATATTCACACTAGGGACAGCCTTGTCTAGCCCAAGCAAAATACTGACACTAGGGACAGACTTGTCTAGCCCCAGCAACTCTTCTAACCATGGAATTCCGCACACCATGAGTGCTAACTGCTGTAGCATAACATTTTCTGCTATAGTAAGCAGGGATTTTTTGCTAATGGTAAGCAGAGGTAAGAAATTGGGTCAAGCTGGGTTACTTTGAACATAAATGAACTGCGCCACATAGGCTTTTTATACTTCCGCTTCTTTCTTGTGTTTAAAAAAAAATCAGAACAGATTCAGTCAGTAAATGCCAAAACAAAATAAGTTCATAAATAGTGGCGTAGCCATGGGGGTGGGGGGGGGGGGGGGGGGGGGCAGCCCCCATGAAACCTTGTCGCCCCCCCCCCCCACTGAGATTTTGAGTTTCTAAAAAAAATGGTCATTGATCTACATGACGCCCCCCCCCCCCATGAAATGTTCCAGCCCCCCAGTGCCCCCACTGACAAATTCCTGGCTACGCCAATTCATAAACTATATATTGTCTGTTCCCTTGCTCCAGAAATTGCAATGGCAACTGAATATGTGTGAGGTATAGTAAACAAATAATTTTATAACGTGGTTATTTTAGATGGAAAGTTGACATTAGTTCCCCTCAGAAATGGACGTTGACAAACTAGTGCCCTCCAAAACTGAGGGAAGCTATAAATATTTACCATCCACCCTAAAACCATGTTTTATATACGACAGTTTTCCCATTCCTATTGGTCGAGAGTTAAGTGGCCGGTTTTAAATGGTAGGTAAAGACTGGGTGGCTGGTCTTAAAAGTAGAGTACATCATTTGCAGCTATCATAGATTGAAATAAAGTCTTTAGGCACTTTCATGTTTTGTGCGATGAGGCCTCCAATATTCACTAGAAGGGCAGCTAGCTGGTACCCTGTATCGTGTTCATACATCTGGCATCCAACAGGTCTAATGGCTTGACTATTATGAGGGCCAATTATGTACATCATGCAGCTACCAAGTATCAGGTAAGTCCAAATACACACAATTCACCGACTATACAGCGCGCATAACCAATGGACCTCACACACATAACAAGTGTACAGCCATACACACATTAAATGGTTAGTCTTGTAGGCCATTGTTATGTACATGAGCTTCAAAATGTGACAATTGTTTACGATACTGTTATCATGGTTTCACATTTTACGGAGTTGCTCACAAAAATCACATGGCCTGGTAGCTGAGCATAAAACGAAAGTGTCGAAACAAACTATTCGCTTAGGCTGTCTTATTTCTCTCTCCATTTTAAGGTAAAAGCATGCCGGACAATGTTAGAAAAATAGGTAATTTTGATATTTAAAATCCTCAAATGAGCTTCTTTCAAGGTGTTATTTTGATTTGTACTTAGCAGAGGGGGTTGTAATCTCACACTTCGTATCTTCACAGAAATGGCCCCTAAACATGGATAGCAAACTAACCTGAAATTTGAAAAAAAAAACACATCATCAGAAAGTTGTCAATGTTTCTCCTTTTTGGAACCTTTTGTCAATTATTTTTAAGTTTTTTTTTACAAAAAAAGGTATTTACGACTGGGAAAAAAGACGTGTTTGGCTGTTGCTAAACAAAATGTTAAGATCAGTTTGGAGTCGAGACACTGATATTGACCCTCACCTTCGACCTCGGCCTTGGTATTAATCATCTTGTTTGACCTTCTTTCACCAGGAGTTTAGTTACATTACTATCTTTAAACCAAGTATGCTTTCCAACACTAATTTCGTCATTTACTTTTAGGAGAGCTGCAAATGATACATTCTACCTTTAAGTACTAAACTGAAACACAGTGATGATAGTTTTTATGTATCGTTTTCAAACACTGCACTTTGACACTCTGCATACCTGTTTCGCAAGTCAGTTTGCACCATTTTATTCAAAGCTGCACTTTTTGGCGTGAGTTGAAAGTCCCAAAGAATGGCATACTTCTCATCTAGCCATTCTGTAGCAGGCTTTCTGTTCTTACCAGCACCATGAAAGCAAGGCTTCCAAGATGAAGTCCATTGGCCAGAAAACCAATGCACATTTATCCAGTGATCCTCTCTTGCAACAACTCTCCCAATTTGTGGACAACGGGGAATGTCGGCCACAAAAACAGCTACCAGCATGCCAACAGTGATGGATGCATAGTCCTGATTTGCCAAAATGGTCTTCTTTGCTGGAGGTCCAATAGTTATCTAGCAGAAAAGATAAAAAATGTGAACAGTTAATTGAACAAGGCAAATGTTTGTAACCAACACCTTAGTTGCTTTGACAATGAGTTCTGTTCTTCCTTGATATAATTGCTTCTTAACCAGTTAGCGCTGGATGACGTTTATATCAGCAAAGGCTTTTGTGGTATTCGGAACGTATGACGGATAAACACAGCATCAGCTACCTGCTCACAGCGAGCAAAGCTGCATGAAATATGAGTGTGCAGCCCCGAAGGTGATGCCTTCAACTAGCCTGGTTCGAGGTCGAGTGATGCCTCATTCCAGTCTTGTCAAAACAATCCCGGTGTCATACAAAAATCGGATTCATATGAAAATCGGACTCTTTCTCCCTTTTATTGGTTAAACCTTAATTAAACCCTCTCACGTGGCCGGTCCCTCTCCTAATTATATATGCATGAGCATGCGCAATACCACCAATGAGTCCGTATTTCATAAAACCTAAATTCATCATTGCTACACCGACATGAACTGGTTCGAAAATAAAAAGCCTAAAAAATTTTTAATTCTATATCTGAACAAAAAGTGTCTGATATACCAACTAACCTCAGGGCAGTCCTGCTGAATAACACCACTGATGCCTTCAAGGTGGGAAAGATCTGGCAGTGATCTCGGTTGGTTTGGTCTGATCAGGGTCTGCAACGGCCAAGTGCTTCCTGGTTCATCAGATGGCTAAATATAAAATGTTATGTAGATGCATTACCCAATAGTTACTGATACTGTATCTCCACCCCCAAACAAAGTTTATCTATCTTTAAAATAACTACAAAACAATGAGGTCAATTTAAAAAAACAATTAAGCAGAATTGATTGAGCAGATACTCCTTATCCTTGCCCGATCAACCCCTAGGAGTTTCATTTAATTGCAGACATGCATCACTGCACAATGGTCTTTTAAAAGCTCTTTGTATCTGCACATTAAAAAATACGGACTTCTTGGTTGTGTAGTTATTTCAGACACACACCGGCTCTGGGTACGGGTACCCACAACTCGAGGCGCTTTATGCATAGTGATGATGTTGCATATGCATCGATGAATACATGTGCGTACACGCGAGGGGGGGGGGGGGGGTGCTGATGGCAGATTGATCAAGTCGGAATTTAAACTTTTGTACCAAATGTTTGCACATGCTCTGCACATGCACACACATATACATATGTATAATACACACGTAAATATGTATAATACACGCTGGCCGACCAGCGTTTGAAATTGATACACAAATATCACTTTTTTTGAAAATGACAGTATACCAGGTGCCATGATTTTACAGGATACTTTAGACTGTCATTCACTAACAGTTCAGCAAGGTATTTCAAAATAATGTGGTAGTTTTATTTTTTGATGTTTGCAAATGTTGTATTTTCCCTTTAAAGCAATTTAGACTTAAGTCACGTCTTGTCTACCCTGCTACCACAAAAAAGTCACAAATGAAAACAACAATTTACCTTTTTGAATTTGTCAATTTGTGTGAAGAACCTGTGCCACCACTCATGAGCATCCTGTGGCATTCTTCTCCCAAATGCCTTCAGATCATTTTCCAGGTTAGGGTCGATTTTTTTCCAGGCTTGGGATGACTCTTGTTGGTATAGTAGTGACTTCAGGAATACTCTGTTGAAAATAAAAGTACCATACATACAGTGAATTCTGCAGAAGTTATTTACCATACTTAAAAGTACAGCAAAAAGTTAAGGAGAATACACAAGTAAGTTTGGAGTCTTAATGCCGAGTGAATTCGTAAATTAGGAATCCACACTTGCGAGTGTGTTCTATTTCTTCGACCTAAACCATTGCGTCAACGGAAGTATTGGAAAGGATGTTGCAACCCGACGCCACTTTTTTCTTCATATATCATCTCAAAGAAGGTCATTTGTTGCAAAAATGATCATAAACATGAATCTGGGACTGAGAAATGTTTCCAATTTTGCTAGGAAATACTTGAATTGACTCTCCATAGACTTTGTAAACAAGCGTGGGAGTGGTGTCAGGTTGCAACATTTTTCCCTGGCATGTTTAGCATGTGTATCGCCACACCCGTACAACCAAGTCATTTTGTGTGTACATGTATAGGCTCCTTACGTCAAAATGGATAGTTCAGACGACGATTTCTTTCTGACGAAAAGTAGATTTTGCAGTGACGGTGGAGAATCTTACAGTGAAGATTCATTGGTAATTTTCGGAAAGCAAATTTGTCGTTCCAAATCAACACTTTGTGACCAGTGTAAGAGATTCGTAGATCCGAATCCACACTTTTAACAATAGTGTGACATCATAGCAATGGTTTAATAAACATGAAACTTCAGAAAACAAGTACATCTCAAACTACAACTCATAGGATATCATAAAATGACTTCACGGCGTTACTTGGCAATAACTCACCCAGTGTTACAATGTTTACTGCATTTGTAAAACGTTGCAAAAATAGTTAAGTTAGCAAGTAAGCTCAAACCTTGAACAGACTAAGTCCTTCACACTGCTCCTCATCGGGTATGTCGATTTCGGCATCAGGACCTGTTTTAAACCACAAAGGAACATTGGAAATAATTACTGAATTTGCAGGAAATATCTTTTTCAAGCTCGATCTTCACTAATTGCTATCATACAAACTGCAAGTATACGTATACCTTACACAAAAATGACCATAAGGTAAGGTTAAAAACACTTAACCAAAAGGAAAACTTCATTCTTGCATGTACTTACTTCAATAAGAAGCAAGTGATTTCAACAAGCATCCAAAAACCACATTCATAGCCAAGACTTGTGACACTGAAGTTTAATTAAACTCATCAAGAATCACAAAGCAGTTTCAGATGCTATCCCTGTACAGCACGCAATGTCAGATTAAAGGCTGAAATAAAATCAAACTTGCCCCACTTCTCATTCAAAATAATAAAATGCAAATAAAAACAAAATGATCATATACTCACAGTAACATCATTACCAGCAACAAAGCTCATTACTAAACAACACATTGTACTGTTTGAAATTGTGGGTTAATTATAGCAATTATGTACCCACCCTCAACATTGTTCGGTCTCCAAGGATCGCAACACCACATGCGATAGTACATCCTGGCAGCTCCATTCACCTTTTTGAACAGAAAATGATGAGGCTTGGAGTGGTTTCCTATGGGCTTAAGATGAGGCAGCAACCAAGACTTGATGTCCCATAAATCTGATCCAAAGAGTTGTCTCACAAGGACTCGGGGTGTGTAGGAATTCTCAACCACTTCGTGAAGTTCTGTAAGTATAAGGGAAAATACAGAAGTAAGAATAAAAACAACTACATGTATAAGATTTCTCCTGCACAAGTTACAGTGGACTCCGAAATGTATAATCTTACCTTCTAAAGTGTAGACATCATTATGGCGTAGTTTCTCTGCAATTCGGCTAAATAGTTGATCCACATCTTCGTGAGTGTGACCCACTGGTAAGAAGTTGAACTCAACCTGAAAAAAAATTTGGTACATAAATAAATGAAATCAAATCCAGGGGTTGAGTCAATTTGAATAATGTTATGTATTTGTAATCATGCTTTTGAATTTCATTTTGATGGAATTTGCACAGCCACATCCTGGATAAGTAATTATGCCAATCAAAAGGTATTTGTATATTTTTTCTTTGCACTCTTTTAATAAAATTGTTTTAACCAAAATTCATAAATACCTCAGACAGTTTAGCCATTCCTATTGGCCGAGAGCCCGTCACGTGGCCGGTATTAAACGGATGATAAAGACATGGCTAGCTGGTCTTAAACACTTTTCCAGTGTCACAATAAAATGTGGACTCCTAAAAATCCAGTGCCTCTTATCGTTTCATTGGTTGAACGTTCACAATCCTCACGTAGGCATGCGCAACACTACCAGGGAGTTAGAATTTTATAGTTCTAAATTCAAAACGCAACGCGCCAGGTGCGTTCTGCGCGACATCGCATAGAACATGATACGCGCAAGTCAATCTCCATAAAAGGGTTGTTTTCATCTTACTCGCCAGCTGAACACTCCATTATTTTGCAGGAGGGATGATTCAAAAGCATAAAGTGAATTTGTTGAACAAAATCGGGATGTTTTGAACGAATTATATGATTTTTTTTTACCGAAAAGGTATTTATGAATGGGAATAAATATGTACTCCGTCGGTATTTATCACTCTGTTTAATACCACTTAGAGTCTGGGTGCTGATAATTACCCTCGCCTCCGGCTCGGGTAATTATCAGCACCCAGACTCTAAGTGGTATTAAACAGAGTGATAAAAACCTCCGGAGCACACATTTATTCCCTTATTGAAGCCTATCAAGATTGGCAATTTTGCAGGTGTAATGGTCATGAACCTGACACTAGGTCTAAAGCAGAAACGTTTCATATTTTGGTACTGAGCTGAAGGAAACTCATTTCAGTCTGATCACAAAGCTAAAGCCCCTGCATGCCAAAACTGATGATGAAACCTACCGAACTGTATATTCCAAACTCAACCAAGAGGAGTCCGAATGCAAGAATGTATCTGTTTTTATTTTCACGGAAGCAGTTATCCATCTGCAAAAGAAAATAAAAAAAAAAACAACTTATGATTCAAATAAGTTCAAACATTAACTAATTGTGATGTGTAGGAAACACAATTCTTAAAAATTATTTGAGCTTCCTGTAATATGGAATATAGCATGAAAAAAGAACAACCATCTTCAGAGCTACAGCTGCTCGGGGGGGGGGGGGGGGTTGTCATGAGAGTTCTGACCCTCCTTTTTGAATGGATCACCTCTGCGCAGTCAAGAGTGTAAACAAGTCCAGTTTTGTGAAACATCCCCAAGCCATATCTGTTGTAGGTGCCTCATTTCCAGGATGTGCAAAACAGCAATTAAACTGTACCTGTACATTCAGCTTTTGTCCTCGCTTTCCATGACTATCCTCTAGAAGTAAAACCTGCACCAATACGTTCAAGTTGAGATTGCTATCGTGTGGCACATTGAGTATGTCCACAAACACAAAGGACTCCATACCTCCTGGACTATTTGTGTGCAAAAGGACTCCTGCATAAAAAAAACAAGAAAGAGAAGGGAAAATCAAGTCTGTTTCAGAATAAAGTTTTTTTCATTTCAAATACAAGTACTGTAAACTTGCGGTCGTTTTCAAATTTTGTGTATCACCTACCATGGAGTTTAAAAATAGAGAATGAAATCAAACCTGTAAGATGTGTCCGCAGACGAGCTTTTGGCTTTGTGCTCTTGTCTTCAACCAACAAGCTAGGAAGGTTTGTTTTGGATTGGTCCATCCCGTCGATTATGATGGTGTTTTCAAGATGTGGATTTAATCTGGCACGCTCCCTACTGTCGTGGTAGTGACGGCGGGACAACCTTGAAAAGAGCCAATTCCTCAGATAATTAGTTAAATGCCAATTACAACATATTCTGTGAAAACAAGGAATTATAAAGAAAACATGGAAATACTAAAAAGTCACAGAATTGCCTGTTCCTGAATGGTGTCTGTACAATTCTTGCTCATTGTGAACAATGCATTGATGCATACCTTACGCAAATATGCAAAGCTTGTTCAACTCCATGTAAACATATATAGCAACAGTGTCTTTGGTCTGGAGACTTCAAAGTTAAAATGTGCCAAGCTTTATGAGCAAGTCAGAAAAATGAAATTTAACTCGCAAATTTAACTGGCTTGTTCCATCACCATCCTTCATAGCTTGAATGCATGGTGTTTAATACAATTATAATTCACAGGTAATTTACATACTGGACATGCTTGATATGCATATCTTGCAATTCCTGGACAGCCGTCCGTTCAGTGTTTGTTGTGGCCATCCGTCTCTCTTCCTTTAGAGATGTACAGATACTGCACTTGGTGAAAGTGCTTACCTGTATAGAAATAGATGTTAATATGAACTTCATTAAGGGGAATTACAATTGTGACAACCCAATCTTCACATTTTCACTACTATATCTCATAAAAAGAGCCATTTATAGGATCCATTAACAGCAAAAAAAACAGGTGCAAAGCTTAATTTTTCAGACCATAAGTTTCCTGTAACATTAACAAGAACCGATAGCGATAATGACTGACCAATAGTTTATCAATACCAAATACTCACTTTTCCAACCACAAACTCCGGCAGTGCAGAGTGCCATATCCGAAGGAAGTGACCATATGAAATAACAACTTCAATCTGACGATCTTTAAAGTCTTTCCTCATACGCTCATACACACTTGTTGCAAATAAGAACCCCCCCCCCCATTTACGTGGGACCCAACTGATTCCGCATTAACTCGTTCTCAGTCCATTACTCAGTGTTTCAGTTTCATTAAACATTAATTTTCCATTTCCCACAGGAACAGGAATTACAGCTTCCCTTCTACAAGGACGCAACTGTATTGCTGTAGAGATTGATAAAGGGCAATGTCAGTGGATTGAACGTCGACTGACATCGGTACTGTATGCTGATCATGCTGGAATAGAGGAATAGACAATCCATTGAACCGTGGAAATCACAAAAGCGCATAACAAAACTGCACTGCATGAACGTTGTACATGTACATGTTCACCCAATTATAATTTATAGCTGCTTACGATCGCCCATATTGGTTTTGTATTATGCTCTTAAATCGACGGCCTCTAGACGGCGCTATAGGATCTTTGGACAAGTCTGTCCCTGTGGTAGCAGACCAGTAAATAAACTTCCATAGACCCCAATGGTAAATGCTCCCACTTCAAAAATTTGGGAAAAATACTCACAACTCTCCAAGGTGTTCAAGACACACATCAAATTAAAGCTTATTTCATCATCTTTCATTTTCTTTTCAATTTTCGGGGGGTCAACTGATGACTTTTAGGAGAAATTTCCATCTGAAGATGATCACCCATGAAAATAGTCCTGAAGCCCATCGCCATTTTGAAAAACGATGCCTACACTCCATTGCAAAATAGAGCGCTTTTAGGGTCCAAATTACATCAAAATTACACAGAACTGCAAGCTCCAAGTCCTGTGCACGGCTTCCACCCATATTTTTTACAATCCCTCAAGTTCATGGCCCACAGCATGCTCAAATACCGAAGATTTTGAGGGCATGCAAATCGTGATTTGGCCGGCGCAGGCAATTTCGGACCGATTTACTGGTCTGCACCCCTGTGTGAGTATTGTAGACCATTTTGCTGCGGCTAGACAAGTCTGTCCCTAGTGTGAGTAATGTAGACCATTTTGCTTGGGCTAGACAAGTCTGTCCCTAGTGTGAGTATTGTAGACCATTTTGCTGCGGCTAGACAAGTCTGTCCCTAGTGTGAGTATTGTGGACCATTTTGCTGCGGCTAGACAAGTCTGTCCCTAGTGTGAATATTGTAGACCATTTTGCTGCGGCTAGACAAGTCTGTCCCTAGTGTGAATATTGTAGACCTTTTTGCTGCGGCTAGACAAGTCTGTCCCTATAGTGTGAATATTGTAGACCATTTTGCTGCGGCTAGACAAGTCTGTCCCTAGTGTAAGTATTGTAGACCATTTTGCTGCGGCTAGACAAGTCTGTCCCTAGTGTAAGTATTGTAGACCATTTTGCTGGGGCTAGACAAGTCTGTCCCTAGTGTGAGTATTGTAGACCATTTTGCTGCGGCTAGACAAGTCTGTCCCTAGTGTAAGTATTGTAGACCATTTTGCTGCGGCTAGACAAGTCTGTCCCTAGTGTGAATATTGTAGACCATTTTGCTGCGGCTAGACAAGTCTGTCCCTAGTGTGAATATTGTAGACCATTTTGCTGCGGCTAGACAAGTCTGTCCCTAGTGTGAATATTGTAGACCATTTTGCTGGGGCTAGACAAGTCTGTCCCTAGTGTGAATATTGTAGACCATTTTGCTGCGGCTAGACAAGTCTGTCCCTAGTGTGAGTAATGTAGACCATTTTGCTGCGGCTAAACAAGTCTGTCCCTAGTGTGAGTATTGTGGACCATTTTGCTTGGGCTAGACAAGTCTGTCTCTAGTCTGAATATTGTAGACCATTTTGCTGCGGCTAAACAAGTCTGTCCCTAGTGTGAGTATTGTGGAACATTTTGCTGTGGCTAGACAAGTCTGTCCCTAGTGTGAGTATTGTGGACCATGTTGCTGTGGCTAGACAAGTCTGTCCCTAGTGTGAGTATTGTAGACCATTTTGCTGCGGCTAGACAAGGCAAAATGAACATGACTTATTGAATAGTTGTATTTAATGTGCTTAAAAGTTTGTTTGTTGAAACCTGTTGTTCAGTTGAGTACAACAACTTGAATAAAGTTCTACTATATCCCTACTGTTTGGAGAGTTGACCTAGTGTGTCTTGTGTTTTCCCTATCATATGCGTTGGTTTCTTTGTCTCTGAATAGTCACTCACTCAAAACAAAAAAGTGCATACAAAATATGAATTGCCGAGCGACAAAACGGCATTGGGAGACATATTTAAACGAAATAGCTCTCAAATAATGGAAATACTAGTTGTATGAAAATTAATGGAAAAAGCTGCACACTCTTTAAAGTATTTAAATGAGAGAGAAAAAAAACTTGTATTCAACGGCTTAAATTTTAAACTTCTTTATGTTTCAATAAGAAAAGATAAATTAACAGCATATATTCTTCAAATTAAGCCGAAATGTGAAATTTTGCAATTAAATGTGAAGGTGTTAAAGATGAGTTACACAAGATTATGATACAAAAAGGCAGGAAACAAAAAAACAAAAATAATTGACTTGACACTGACAGCTGCACTGCACTGCACTGATCGGACTCTTTTCACGAATGCCCTTTTCAAAAGGTAATATCTTTTGTATAATTCACAAATGGTCCTTTAGATTTACAAATTACATGTATAGTTATAAATGGGTGATATGGCTTAGGTTCTAGCCCCACTAGTGTGCCCTAGATACAGCACAACGAGTATCGGACATTACTTGCTGAGCATCTGCATAAACACAATTAATTGCAGAGATTTTTTTTTTGGCAATGGAAATGCAAAATTTCCACTAGGTACACACTAGTTAATTGTACAGAGAACTGAATTAACCTTTTTTTTTACAAGAACGACTTGTTTTAATAGCCATTATATTCCGACTAAAGACTTTGGTGTTGACCTTGATAAAATATGTACATGTTTTTGAAAGGCTGAATAATTTGTCTTCATTTCCATGACAAATCCCAAAGTGTCCTCACACACACTGAATATGACATGGAGTGTTAAATTTACTCACAATGCAATTGTATATACAAAATGGAGGCTGCATGATGTTACATACATGTACACCAGTAAGCTTACATCATGAATGTTGAAAGGAGACAGAAGCCCAGGCATGCTAGGCCTAGGCATGCCAGGCCTAGGCATTTGGTCACAATGGATTCCATAGATGATGCTGCTTCATGCTCAAAAGTTTATAAATGGAGAAAAGGGCCCAGCTACAGAGCAGAGACTCACAGCCTGCACAAAAGGTACAGACAACATGGAACCCCAATTACTCCCAGTGCCACATTTCGACCGGGGACATTACCAAATAAATATAGTCACTTGGCAACCACTGAGGATAACATTGAAGCGTATTGGAGGGTCAATTCTTCAGCTTCCAGAAATGGTAGTGGCATGAATTTGGGAAATAACTGTACTTGGAGGAATCCGGGTGCTATTAAAGAAATGCTGCATCATAAGGGAGTTTTGGCTAGCAACAATGTCGTTGGATGTGTATCAGACAGTGAAGTACAAGCTACAAAGCCTAATTAATCTACAACAGTGAATGTAGCTTCCAGGTTTGCTGAAATGAACAGACAGATGCGCCACCACAGAACAGCCCTCATTCAAGTGAAATGCATCGAACACTTCATTATTTACAAGCTAATTCATGACTCTAATTCTATAAGAAGCAGAGAAGTAAACCGATTTGGTTCTTTTCTGCTATAAGCAAAAAGGCATATTTAAAAATGAGAATCTTCTCAAATGCTATGCACCTGTCAAGTGTTCCCCACCCCCTACCTTGCGCTGCCACACCCCTTATGTTTTTCATGCCCTGTGGTGGGATTTTTGACATGTAGAATTAAATGTTCAGTGTGCCCCCAGGAAACTGCACATGCTTTAACTCATCAGGTGGTGATTTGTCACCTAAATTTTGCCCCCAGGGATTGAGATTTCTTTGAAGTGACAATTTCCACCAATAGGCATCTGTAATTTCAGAAATCTGGGACTTATTCGTAATCAATAAAAAACAATTTTAAATTCCGACTTTTGGGAACCGAATCTATCATAAGTAGGTTCAGAATTTTGTTTTGTGCTTTCGGCTTGCGGACACTTCGACTTAGAAACAACAAGTCACTTTTTAAAGGTTGGTGATCACTTCTCATTTTATTGTGTCATGTTTAAATCGGGTTTGCTGCCAAGACTACTCAAAACATTCTGAACTCGCTTATTGGAATATCAAGTTGAAACACCACACTTTGCATGTCATTGGCACCTGGCATGCAAAAGAAATAAGGGTGTCCGGCAAAGCAGACGTTTGTTGGCCTAAAGTGTAAATACGAACTGCTCACAAGATCGACATTGTCAGCAAATAATTCTGGCTATTGTAACTCAAGAGAACGCCAGTCCAGAACGCCAGAGAAGTCCAGCATTAAAATGTACTGTATATTCTGCAGTGTAACCAAAAGTGCATGTATGGCTCATTGTGACGCAGCCTTGATTGGAATTCCTTGTTACTTTGTTGGGGTGGGGTTGGGAGGGTGGACGGTCAGGTCAGGTAAGAAAGTTTATATTAAAAGTGTTCAAAATACTTACCACTGCTCTGACATTTAACATGCTGAAACAAATTGATGTCCAGCCACACGGTTGTATGGAAGCAGTATGATAATGGTTTTATGCACCATAAATTTACATGTTAGCAGTGTTGTAGTTGAGTCCTTTTCGAGTACCAATTTTACTGCAAAATATTGAACAGATGAGGTGTGAACAAAGCTGGCAAACATGGACATTAGATGGTATGCACAAAGGTGAGATAACAAAATAATTTGCATACTTCAGATTCTCACTGTAACCACGGCGATATATAAACCTCCACAAAAGCAAGCTAGACTAATTATTACTGTATTATGTAAATTGTAACAGTTTTTGGTTTCAGTCGGGCATTTGCTTCAAATATCAATTTTTGAAATGGAGAACTCATGTAGATGTAATGTTATAGCTGTGTTGACTTGTTCATGATTGATACTTGCACAACTGTGGAGT